AAAAAAAAAAAAAGAAAAAAGGAAATGTGTTACCAGAATCTAAACATTTTTGGCAGGCCTTCTAAACAGTAAGTGAACTATATATCCAAAATAAATGAAACTTCATGGAAACATGTCATCCGTGTCATTAGAAAGTAAAGTTGTACTTATATTAGATTACCATATACATATTTACAAAACTTTTGTAACATCAATCCCATTAAACATCCCAGAAGCTGATACTCCTTTGATTACACTAAGTTTCATTCATGCTCTTTTCCTCCTCCAGATAATGGTTTATAGCTTAGTTAAGCCTTGGGAAATCAGCTTCCTGAAACTCACCAAGGTCAAAGTGAATGCTGCATCTGTGATCTTGGTGAAAATGTTCTAGTTCTTCCTCCTGTGAAGTGGGGAGGATCCATCTTCTCATTCCTATCTCCGTGATCTCGGAAAGTTTGGCGACAGCACGTAACAAGTGTCTAAACCATTGTCCGCAATCCCGAGAAGTTGATGGCCGAAAGCTAATATCCAGCTCGGTCAACTCTTTGAGGAACCGCACATTTTGGCAGAAGAGGGCCCATCCTGCATCACAGATGCTGTCATTATAACTCAGGCCGAGCTCCCGTTGCTTGGCCAGGTGACCTGTGTGTATTACGGAAGCTGAAAAATAAAATCACACTAAATGCTAAAATACAAGAATACTTTCTCCTGTGGCTGTTTGCCACTTCCAATAACACAGTCATTCCAAGATTAGAAATGACAAGATTGGTGCTTAGTAATGATTTGTTATTAGCGAGCAGCTTTATTCAGGACATCCGAAATCACTTTAGTACCAAATCTATTCTCTGCACATCCCAGGTACAGCTTGAAAATTGGTTTTTTTTCTCTTTCCAAATCCCAACCCAAAGAATATCTTTTTTTGCTCTTGGCTCCACTAGAGACCCAGCTCTTCCTGCAGACTCTCTCCAGTTAAATGTGAGGAGTGATGGCTCTCTGGCTTTAACTGAGGACCATTTATAAATAGTCATCTTGCTGTTTAATACTGTTTAATTGTTCACTGCTCATTCAGTCATTCTTCATTCAACAAGTAATTAACTGAGCACTTTTCACGTGCAAAATACACGTGGGTAATTTCTTTTTTATTTTATTTTATTTATTTGAGAGCAAGAGCACAAGCAGAGGGAGGGGCAGGGGGAGAAGCAGGCTCCTCGCTGAGCAGGGAGCCCGACATGGGACTCAATCCCAGGACCCTGAGATTATGACCTGAGCCGAAGGCAGACATTTAACCGACTGAGCCACCCAGGCACCCCAACACGTGGGTAATTTCTAAGTCACCTTAGGGACCTCCAATTCACAGAACAATTTTCCCTTTGAAGAGCACATATCACAGTACTACCTAAAATGGCTCTTAATAAATAATAGTGATGAAGCTAAGAAAAGATAGTAACGCTTGTAAGAGGATATAGGAGAGCTACCCAAAGCAAGCAGCGCGTGCTTCCCTTGCCAGCCAAATGCAGTGATGGACCACAGAGATCAGATGAGTAGCATGGGATCTCAGAGTTGGCAGGGACCCTGGAGGTCTCCTCATTCAACCTCCAGATCAATGATCAGAGATGACTCTTTCACAGCTTCTCTACTGGTCACCAGCCAGCTCCTGCCTGAGGCACCCTTTCCTGTTGCCCTGACAGAATGAGGTGGCTCTTAGCAGGAGAAAGCCCCCATACTTTGGGTCCCTTTCTGCCTTCCAGTGACGTTCACTGATTACCCCACAGCCTGCTGAACACTTCAGCTCCTTCCTCACACCAGCCTTGGAATGTTGGACGACAGTCAGTTCCCTCAAGTTCTCTCCCTTTAGGATTAAATGTGCCCTGAATCCTTCAGTCATTCTTCATGTGTCCTGGCTCCCAGAGCAAGCAGCATGCTCCATCCCCATTGCTTTCCTTTGCCCACAGTTTGGTGCATTCAAAAGCTTAGCATTCTGTACACTCAAGAGCTGCACTCCATTCGTAGGTGTCCATGTTGATGTGTGTCTCTTCCTCTCTCTGCAACATTACTCACCATGTTCTCAAGACCTAACTGTTAAAGACAATGTACATGCTTTTCCTTTTTACAATTTTTTCTACTATGGAAATTTGCAAGGGTACAAAAAGCAGACAGAATAGGAGCATAAACTCCCATGTCCCCATCACTCAGCTTCAACACTTACCTTTATTGCACCAATCTGTTCCACCTATTTCCCTCCTTTCTACTTTTTTTTTTTTTTTAGTACAGGCATTCCTCATTTTATTGTACTTTGCTTTCCTGTGCTTCACAGATGTTGCTTTTATTAAATTAACAAATTGAAGTTTTGTGGCAACGCTGCATCAAGCATTATTTTTCCAACAGCATTTGCTCACTTTGTGTCTCTGTGTCACATTTTGGTAATTCTCACAATATTTCAAACTTTTTCCTTATTTGTTATGATGATCTGTGATTAGGATTTGCTGAAAGCTCAGATGTTGGTTAGCACTTTTTAGCAAGAATTTTTTTTTTTTTTTTTTTTTTTAGGTATATGAGATGACGGATAAAAACTAAACTTACTGTGGCAATTTTTTTTTAGGGGGAGTAGGCTCAGAGGGAATGGGAGAGAGAGAATCCTAAGCAGGGTCCATGCCCAGTGGGGTTCGATCTCACAACCCTGAGATCATGACCTGAGCTGAGATCAAGAATCAGATGCTAAACTGACTGAGCCACCCAGGCACCCACAATAAAGTATTTTTGAACTAAGGTATGTACATTTTTTTAGACATAATGAACTGCATGCTTAATAGACCACAGTATAGTGTACACATAACTTTTGTATGTACTGGGAAACCAGAAAATATACTTGACTTGCCTTTTTGCAATATTTGCTTTATTGTGGTAGTCTGGAA